GGCACCCTGTGGCAGCCACTGGCACCCTGTGGCAGCCACTGGCACCCTGTGGCAGTGAGTGGCACCCTGTGGCAGTGAGTGGCACCCTGTGGCAGCCTCTGGCACCCTGTGTCAGGTTCTGGCACCCTGAGGTGGTCAGTTGCACCCTGCCTCTGGCAGTTTGTGGTACCTTCATGGCCAGTGGTTTCCACAGAATGTCAGTTTTTTTACTAAGTATTGTCAATTTCTGAGTAAAAATTCCCATTACCTGTATAAAAGATTTTAAATTAGTTTTAAAAAGTACTCTTCATCATCCTTTAGAATGTTATATACATACAAAGCACTGTTTAGAACATTTTTTATTCCAAGTACTGTTTATTAAAAAATATCATCATTTTCAATAACTCATTTTCGAATAATAGGCAATACCTAATAAGTATGACGACTCATTTTGCCGAAAATTGGAAAATGTCTTCTCCCAAAACAGCAGCAGCCGCTGTGGAGGATGGTCTGGCAGCCTATGGCACCCAGCGGGCAGCGGCAGCCTATGGCACCCAGCGGGCAGCGGCAGCCTATGGCACCCAGCGGGCAGCGGCAGCCTATGGCACCCAGTGGCAGGAAATGGCAGGCACTTCCGGTGGCAGCCTCTGGCAGTCCCGTGGCAGCTGCCACTGCCACAAATTGAGCTAAGGAGTGGTGGGCACCAGTCCGCTAAAGCGCAAATCCGCTAATTGCGGACCAAAATATTTCTTTTGCACTTTAGCGGTCTATCTAATTTTTATAATTCATAAGCAGATTTGCGCATTCTAAAATTAAAATGCAGTACCACTAATAACTAATTATCTAACAGTCATCATTATCTTGAACAGCAGAAGGTATGTTGGCCAGCCTGTAAAAATATCGCCAAAAACATCTATTTTTTAATACAGGCTGGTTAGGTATGTTTTAACCAAGCCGTATTGTTACACATCCTTTCACATGTACAACGTTTAAATTTCTTGCAGATAGCATTTTCCTTTCTCAAGTTATGACTAAAATTAATCTAAAAAAACGTTACTTCCTGCCCAACTCAACCAAGCTACTCCCCGCTGCCTCCAGCGTCAAAACCCCAATTCGACCAATCACGTCTCGGGCCATCTCCGCCCACATCAAAACCTCGGCCAATGACGATTTGGGCCGTCTCTGCCCRCAGGACAACACGTTCTGCAGAGACCCCTACTTGGAACCATCAGGCAAGATGGGAAGATTTTGTCTGACTCGTCACATGTGCTTGCATCATAGTATGTTCTTATAAACTCAGGGAGGAGGTTCAGGGTTTCTTTGTGTAAATGCAATCGAGTTAAACACTGGTTTGTACCACTCTCCATCAGCTTGATTAATGGATGACTAGCAGAGCCTGAGCAGGGTAATTGGAGGCTCAGACTCAGGCAGGAATTAATTGTATGTGAGAAGGTACTGTATGTTTGTGTGGCTATACTGCCCATTCAAAGTCAGTTGGTCTTATCTTGTCTTTCTTGTTTTCCATTAGATGAAATTAGAAATGCCTAAAAAACATGTCTGGTAAAGAAGATGAAAGAAAGAGGAGGTAARGAACACAAAAAAGAGCAATGGTGTGTCTGATAACCTGTGGTATGTGAACACAGCACTCCTTTGCTATTCTTCCTCCAGCTCTCATCACACTGATTTATATGTCAGCATCCCTGCAACATGTTTGCCCATCGTGTACCACCCAGACTACAACATTACCTTCATGGGTCTGGAAAAGCTCCATCCCTTTGATTCAGGGAAGTGGGGGAAGGTCATACACTTCCTGAAAGGTAAGAGCATGTGACACAGAATGGGACGTAAGTGACACCTCCCTGTGCTGATATACTGTAAACCCCACTTTTCAGTTCCACACACGTTTTATAATATCTACAAATAGCTCTCGTCCATGATTGTTTATGTACTCCTATTGTTTATGTTTCATGTATTGTAAGTATTCCCATTGGGCTTGTTTGTGTCTCAGAGGAGCAGTTCATCCATGATGGCAACATTGTGGAAGCCCGTGAAGCTACTGAGGAGGATCTGCTAGTGGTTCACTCTAAACGCTACCTGAACAGACTAAAGGTAGCTTTACTTTTCATCCACACTGTCACTGTGGTATCCGTCYGTCYGTCAGTCCATCCRTYCGTCCGWYCSTCCCTCCCTCTGGTCTCAGGGGCAGCAGCTTGATCAGGGAAATCCAGACCTCTTTCCCCCAGTCATCTCTTCCAGCTCTTCTGGGAGGACTCCAATGTGTTCTCAGACCAGTATGAGGCATCCGAAAAGCCAAAATTGGATTGTAAAAATTTCGTGATGAAAATTGCGGCATTTTGTTTGCAGTTTCGACTCTTCGGCCCCTTCTTGTTCACRAAGGAATCTCTCTGCCAAAAACTGTGGCGCTTTAACCAGGACTGAGTTGTGGTCAAATAATGATGAATRTCAGAGTTACTTAACATGGGGTTTCTAATTTATTTGTTTTTTCCACAGTGTAGACTCCAGTGGAAAGAAACCCTGCACAGTGATGTATAGTTAGGTCATATTTGCACACTGACACAAAAAAAGATGTTGAGACCCATCTAGCGCCATAAATTGTGAGATCTCAGCCTGATTCAATAAAGAYCTTCCCCTGAACTTTGGAGCCCCTACTTTTTATAAAACGTTGCCCGCACCCAGATGTAAAGCATAACATACGTGTCCCACTGGGATGGGCTGAACCAGTGTAGATCAGGCTGTACATTCAGTTCCTTACAAGGTGTTAAATCTAGATGGCTCCAGCTCTGCAACTGAACAGTACACAGACACATTTTCTCAACTTAAGCTTGGCCTTATCACAGTTTGTACCAAGTACCGTACACCTCAATTATTTAAATTTGCACGCACGAGATCTCATTTACTCCCGCGAGTGTTCTGGCAGGCATTTGCCACCATAACATAAGCTTTACTGTAGCTGTTTGACAGAAAATGCACGGATAGAATGGTCCAGTCCACACTAGTCATGTGATGTAGTAGCAGAAAACAGGCCTTTTTAAAATAATTTAAAATCTTTTTTTGACCATAGAAAGACAGAAATAAACAATGTTTTTGTTCTTTTAGTACAACTTTCAAAAACTTGTCACTGTTTTGTTTCAATATAGTGGTCTGTTGTGGTGGCATCAATCACAGAAATCCCACCTCTCCTGTTTCTGCCTAACCCACTGGTGCAGAGGAAGGTGCTGAGGCCGTTACGAACCCAAACAGGAGGAACAATAATGGTAGGTATATAATAACTCTGTCTTCTGTGTTTTTCTGTTTCTTAGGTCATAATTTAGGAAGGCTGCCACAGATTGCTGACCATAATTCAAATCAGCTGAGCTATAGCCATTGCTTAATTTCTTAATTTCCATTAAGACATAAAATAAATACTGATTACAATGCAGGCATTGTACCTGGGAGCATAGGGACGACCCTGTGTTTTGCTTAGGTTGTGATGCAATGCCTGCACTGTAATTATTATTACCTCTGACAAGGGGGTGGAGGGGTGGGGTTCGGTTGGTCAGTCAAATCACTCAAAAACTTGTGGTCGGTCGGTCGGTCGAATTACTCAAAAACTTGTGGTCGGTCGGTCGAATTATTCAAAAACTTGTGGTTGGTCGGTCGAATTATTCCAAAACTTGTGATCGGTCAGTCGAATTACTTAACAACTTGTAGTCGGTCGGTCAAATTACTCAAACTTGTGGTCGGTCAGTCGAATTACTCAAACTTGTGGTCGGTCGGTCGAATTACTCAAAAACTTGCGGTCGGTCGGTCGAATTACTCAAAAACTTGCGGTCGGTCGGTCAAATTATTCAAAAACTTGCGGTCGGTCGGTCAAATTATTCAAAAACTTGTGGTCGCTCAGTCAAATTACTCAAAAACTTGTGGTCGGTCAGTCGAATTACTCAAACTTGTGGTTGGTCGGTCGAATTACTCAAACTTGTGGTCAGTCGGTCGAATTACTCAAAAACTTGCGGTCGGTCGGTCGAATTACTCAAAAACTTGCGGTCGGTCGGTCGAATTACTCAAAAACTTGCGGTCGGTCGGTCAAATTACTCAAAAACTTGCGGTCGGTCGGTCAAATTACTCAAAAACTTGCGGTCGGTCGGTCAAATTATTCAAAAACTTGCGGTCGGTCGGTCAAATTATTCAAAAACTTGCGGTCGGTCGGTCAAATTATTCAAAAACTTGCGGTCNGTCGGTCAAATTATTCAAAAACTTGCGGTCGGTCGGTCAAATTATTCAAAAACTTGCGGTCGGTCGGTCAAATTATTCAAAAACTTGCGGTCGGTCGGTCAAATTACTCAAAAACTTGTGGTCGCTCAGTCAAATTACTCAAAAACTTGTGGTCGGTCGGTCAAATTACTCAAAAACTTGTGGTCGGTCAGTCGATTACTCAAACTTGCTGACTGTCGGTCGAATTACTCAAAAACTTGCGGTTGGTAGGTTGGATTACTCAAAAACTTGCGGTTGGTAGGTTGGATTACTCAAAAACTTGCGGTTGGTCGGTCGATTACTCAAAGACTTGCGGTCGGTCGGTCGATTACTCAAAGACTTGTGGTCGGTCGGTCGATTACTCAAAAACTTGTGGTCAGATTGTTGTGAATTTTTTTACACATGTGGGTATTGGCCAAAGGAACACACCATAAAATTTTGGTGATGTTCCAGATCACGATGCAGATACAGGAATTTTTTTTTAATTTGAGCAAATCAGCCTGGCTACACAAAGTGTCATTACATCAGACGCATGCCTTTAGGAAACAGGAAGTACAAGTCGCAAACTGGCTGGGACTACACCTCCCAGGATGTCTACTATTGGGAAAATTGTGATTATTCTGTTGTAGTGGTCAGGTAGGGGTGGAATAAGCAGTTACACCTGTCTTTGATCTCGGTCTCAGAAGACCTCCTTTAAACACAGAACTCTGTTCATTTAAAGCCATAACATGTTTTCTTAAACAGTAAAGAGACATTTTATTCTTATTAATCAGATAATAAACAGAATAATCTTCTTTTACTCATAATTTTATCAAAGTATAAAAAAGAATGTTATTACAATGTTTTATTGTGCTTTGATGTAAATCACAGCTTGAACTTTAACTGTGAAACCGCAGTGATTGATTATAGATTTTTAAGTTTGAATATTTTACTTAACTAAACTTTGCATTATGGTTAAGCTTTATTATGAAACATTTTATAATTATTTTTATCTGAATCATCATAATTAATGTTTTATACGAAATAATTAATTTTTAAGTTCAAAGTAAATCATTCTTTAAGTGCTCTCAGCAGAGAGCAGGTCAGAACAAGCTGTACGACTTTACAGACTTTAAAATTTTTGTTTAAGATAACACCTGGCAGTGCTTAATAACACTTCCTCTCTTAAAACTAACATCTCTGAACTAACAGTCTGTTGAGTTGAGTTGAGTTGGGAAAGCGAACATGTTCGTGCTTCACGAGGATGCAGCTGGCTCTCCGAGGAGGAGAACCAGCGTTTGGCTTTGAGCTTTAGCCCATTGAGTCAAAGGGAACCCCTCAGCCTAGACCAGACCATCACTCAGTCTCGTCTATTATTTTGAGCTTACCAAAGTTACTCACAGAGAAGCCTTTGTTTTAAAACGTCCATGGCAGAAATATTCTATTTTTGAGACGGAAACCTAGAAGCGCTTTGTCTTTATCTTCGATCGAAAACTGCCCAGGAGACGCTGAGGGAGTAATGTAAACACGCCTCGAAAGTGTCCGACTGGATGAGGTTCAGAGAAGTTCTTCACCAATTGGACGATMTTTCTTCCGACTTGAGCCATGGTGGTGAAACCATCCCCAATCAAGGTAATGGCTGTTTGTTACTGAGCGTACCTGAGGTTTGGCTGGATTCGTTGAGAGACTTCTGCCTTTTCTGGTTAAAATCCACATTCTTTAAAGGATAAAAATAAAACTAACTAATCCTCCTCCTTTCTTTCCTCTTAAACCTGCCCTGCCAAAACTTAAGAAAGAAAAAGTGCAGCAAACAAATGGTTTATTAACATCTGAACCTCAAARTTTGTTGTTAAACTTTTTATAGGAAATTAATCTCACAATAAGCTGTATATTAGTGATTTATTTGATTCTGTAAATGAATAAATGATCTCATTTATTTTAGATCAACTTAAATTCACTGAGTACGCTCATCTTATTGTGTGTTTTGTCCATTCGTTTTTGTATAAAGAAAATATTACCGAAAATAAGAAGAACCTGTGAATTTCCTTTTTATAACCTTCGTTATAACCAGGGGTGCACATAAAAGTTTTGGTCTGGTTCTCAGGGGAGAACCTAGAGTTGTTGCTTGGTGCTCACTCATATTTTCCTTCACTTATTTAACACATTTTTCTATAGGGGTTCCGAGCATCTAACGTCCCCCTGTTCTGTTTTTTGACTCCTATCAGCTGCAACGTCTCAGGACATCATGTCAAATCAGTCCAACAAGCTTTATAACTTATTCTTTTACTCTGCATAAATTTTGTAAACTACCTAAGTGGCCGAGGGGCTGGGTGTATGCCATATAAACATCACAAACTGAACATTTCATGGTTAAATGTCTTTTAGACTAACATGTCCTTCAGATGGACAGCTCCTGTTTGGTCTTCTGCATCTTCAGCCTTGGTTAAACCAGCTTTCCACACTCTCCAGTCCAACCAGCAAATACTGTATCTGTCTTTTGCACAGAGCAAAATAACTTAAAACATACAAATGTTTTATTTGTTAGACTGATTTATTTCTTAAAAGACTATTTTATTCAAAAATATTATATTATTTAGATGGTTTCAGCTCATTTAATTATTTATTCTTCRTATTTGATCATTTAATAAATTACATTTATCCCAGAAAAGCTGTATCACAGGATGGTCCTAAATATAAACAAGTTTAGCAAATCAAGAACCTTTTTTTAATATAAAATTGTGAATTAATTTTGTGGATCTTTATGATAAATTAAAATAAGATTTTAAACTCTTTCACCTAGAGAACATGGCAAGTTGTTTTTATTTTTTAAACAAATATAATGTTTTTGACTGGGGTGTTAGAGAATCTTCTTTGCTTTAATATGGGACAAACAAATGTTCTGTTAGTTAATGTGGTTTAATTAGAAAAACTCAGTGAATCTCACAGACAGCCTGCACGCGCAGCAACACGCTCATACAGCAGTCTCTCAGGAGGAGAGTTTAGTCACTCACACAGAGTTGGACAGATCTGTTTGATAACAACATTCTGAACATATATTTAATATAAAGTTAGGTTTTACAGACCAAAGTCTCTGGTAGTTCAGGAGCAAAGTGCAGGAGGAGAAGTCAGGACTGATCGCGTCGCTGCAGCAGCTCGAGTCGACTCGAGCGCTGCTTCAACTAAACTTGCTCTCACTGAAAGTCCCGCCCTGCTCTGCTCTGATTGGATAAAACGGCTCTGGACTTCTTCTGATTTGTTGAAGGCAGTGTCCGTTTAATCCTTATATCAGGGTCCAGCTGTGGCGCACCGAACAACAATTCATTCACACCAGTGTGGCTGGATTCTTTTTTTTTTAAGAAATCAAGTCGCCTTTGTGACCAAACTGGTCGCACTCTAGAGCCCTGCTAGCTGTTGTTTTGACAGACAATCAGGTACAATCTTAGGTACGCAAGGGAGCTTTATGACGTCCCATCTGGTGCGCTTTTTCCTTTTTTGATCGCGCAAGCGCACCTGCGCACTGCTTATGTGCAACTCTGGTTATAAGAAGTGTAGGTTGTACCCCTACACTGTTATCAACTAGTTTTGGCAATCTTACTTGTTGTCTGGAGACATAGAGAAATTACGGGAATAACTGAGAAGACACCGACAGCGGGGGGAGGGTCCTGCTGCAGCCGAGCCGAAGCTGGTACTGGTGTTAGACCAGACCGGTACCGGACAGCGAGACCAGCTGATCAAACATGTGAGGAACCCCTCCACATACAGTAAGAACTGTATTGTGTGATTGGTCAGAAGTTCATGGGAGTGTGTTTTTTCTGCTGAAAGCAATCTCTTAAAAAAAAAAAGGCGACTCGCTTCCAGAGCCGACTGTACCAGGAAGCAGCCGTTTATAAAGATAGTCAAACAGTTAAAAACTCATAAAAGGGGATGGTGGAATCTGACTGATGAAAACTTTAGAGTTTAATCCGGGACCAGTATGTGGATGATTAACGTCGGGTGACAAGTCTCTGACTTTTTTTCGAATTGGACTCCATCGGAAGAAATCCCA